AAAAACACAAATAGTAGCGATAAGGATCAATCGAGAATTTTCAGAAAAATAATTGTAGACAAGATTACATCTTCAGATTCTGGTTTGAATACTTAAAAGTGCAGTGACAATAAATGTGCTGTAGACAATAAATGTGCTGATCATATTTTACAAGAATTAGTTGTTTAGGAAGAAAGAAAATTGATACCGAAGAAAGAACATAATTTACCTGTCGGGCAACAATCATTTTCGTTTCTTTCTTTCAACATTCATTTTTCTTTCGAATACCTACTTTACCTCGTTCAGGACTCAAAGAACTGACACCGGAGTAACGGCTAATGCATGCTAATCAGAATTTTATGTCGTCACCCGAATACGGGTGAAGCGGCAGCCAAAATATTAAAATGTTCCCTCTGAAAGCGTCCTTATTTGAGGCAGGTTGTAACAGCGAAAACGTGGCGAAAGCAGAAAAGAATAAGATGGCAACTTGAATTGGTTATAAGCAGTAATCACGAAGCAAATTTCTGAAAATTTTCAATTCTTTGATTTTATCATACTAGCGAAATTTTAAGCTAATTTTTCCCTTAAAAGTTTATGAAATGGTTGAAAACTACATTTCTTGATGAATTAAGATCTGGCATTAGAATTACTGTGACATGTTTATTAATACATAATCATATTTTATGTATATTATACTGTACCTAGCTTTGCAGTTATATGGATAACATACGTGCGTAACGCTTGCGTAAGCAAATAGATTTGTTAGACAAGGCTTTTAAGAGCTCTCAGCGTTATGTTTGACAGATATCAACAAATTCAGTATCACCACATGTGTGGATAACGCGGAAGCTGTTCTGTGTGACAGAATGCATGATGCATGTTCCGTTTGCGTGGTGAATTTATTTGGCAATTCTTGTCGCATATCGTATTAAGCCGCATGAGCATTACATAACGATGGATCGAAATTGTAAATGATAGCTGATACAGTCTGATGTTAAGAGCACCATTTATCGTTAATAACATTTCAGGTAATGCTTTAAAAAGAAAAGAAAAGACATAAATTTTAATGAAAACATTTGTTACTCTAACAAAGCAGGATCTGACAGTTTCATTTCTCCGCAAGCCAAAATCAGTTTCCCTTTCAATATTTAGGAGGCTTTTCAGTTATAAGGTAATCATATAAATGATCCAAATAATACTTTCTTGTTACTTTTTCACCTCACTTCTTATTGGATTTATAGGATTTCTAGATACCCGTATTATCTGCACATATGATAAGAAACATTTTAAGAATGTTAACATAAAAGTAAGAAAAAACTAAGCACGAATGTTTTATTAGTGAAATCTTTACTTAGATTAATGGTAATAAAAAAATTTTAAGAACTTATTTATTTTTAACTAACCAGTTAATGTTCACTAGCTCTTCTGTCATTCTCCTTCCCCCGTTTTCCTGCCAGAATGCAAATTTTAGTTCGCATGTTTTCAGATGCGTCAGAAAGAATATTTAAATGAAGATTTTAGATTGTTGAATCGGAGCGTATTCCGCCTGCTAAAGGCCACGTTATTAATTGTATCTCTTAGACAGCAATCTGTCTGCAGTGTTGCGTTATTCTCACCTAGGCTTCGACATGCCGGTGTTAGATTTCAACCTACTTGAGGGTTATTCTTTCTGTGTCGCCTTTGGCTAACTGATGACTTATCTTAGTTTATTATTTCTGAGTTACGGCATAAATACTGGCTAGTTTTGTAAGTACAAGAAGTGCCTTTTGTTAAATTAATGAGTTAAATAAAAGGGCTTTTTACACCTTCGTGCGTTTTTCTGTCTGTTTACTGGACATAGCGATAGAGCACACAAAAGTTACATTTCTATATGCATTTAAATACTGTTAAAATGACATGCCTTATGAAATTAAAAAATGTTCTTCTTTGATAATATGAAAAGTTTGCCGTATTCTTTTTCCGTATTATATCTTCAGGTACACCATCGAATTTTGTTTCATTTTCGCTATCACTATTATTCTGATCCGTAAATAACTTGCGTTACATCTCCAGTATTAGAATATTACCTTATAAGGTATTTCTCCCATCTTCTTAGCATGCCTTCGTGGTTGGTGGTCTGCACGCTGGGCGCGCATTCTAGAGGTCCATGGTTATATTCCCGGCGAGGACGTTGGTTCATTTCTCGTCACTCCTGCTTCCGAAATAAACCTAATGTCTCTAAAACCTTTTCATAATGACTTTTCAATTATATCGGGTTTAATTTCAATCCATGCTTTTATTCACTCACGCACTATTTCTAGGCTAATACGACGTATTTGGCTCCCTTTACCTTCTTTGATTTCGATATTCACTTCAAAATCACGGCTTTAAATGACTACAGAAAGAGAAAATAGCTAACTGTTAATTCCGTGAATTCATTAGGGTCTGGCATACATCCCTACCTCAAATAATGTCCCTCCTATCTCGAAAACCCTAGAATAATATTCTTGTGCACACATGCATTGAATACAATACACCATCTTTGCGGAATTATTTACCCTCTCAAGCATTTTCCCCACACATATATCATTCCCTTATTGCTTTGTCAATTCAGTATACCATTGTTTGAAAGCCTGTGAAAAATCTTGCAATGAATAACTTCAAAAGATAGCAGAACCGCACTATATCTGCCAGGTTTCTACGCAAAGAAAAGAATGCCCGTTATACGGTGAATATACCTAAAAACTAAAAAACCTAGTTTGAAGTGCATTATGCGCAGGAATACACGGTATATATGTATATATACAACTTTATGCGGCCGATTATAACGAAAAATGCTGGTACACAACTACATGTTATGGCAGTCCCCTAATCAAATTTCAACGTTCTATAGCGACTCGTTTTTGAGATACTCGTTCGTATTCTACTCGTTTTTGAGTTATACAAGATACATACGTCACAAAAAAAACTTTTACAGATATCAAGGAAAAACATCGTTAAAATGGATTAGAGTGCTCAAAATGGATATTTTTGTAGAAGTATAATACCTGAAATTTTTCGCGATTACTTCGTACAAGAAAGAGAGAGTACAAGTAGAGAAATCTAGTCAGTTTGCTACGTAATAGATACCATGTACGTATTGTACAACGTATTTCACTCCTTAATATTGGGAATTCACAACATGAGAAGGTGGGCCACAATTTGTGACGGGTCACGAAACATTTTCAAGAACGATTTTGTTAATTATGCGGTTATGAGTACAGTTACGAACTTATTCTTAGCTGCCAAAATAATTGTGAACAACTGCATATGTTTATTTTTATTACCTCATTATTATGGTATTTTCTTCTATAGGTTTGGACAAATAAGACCTACCAATGTTAAACATAAATAACTTTTTTATTTTTTGATATACTTATTTTTTTTCTTTTTGTAGGTTATAATTTAATTTTTGGAAACTTATTATGGAACCATACAGTACAAAACAACACGTTAAAATTATCGATTTTTCCTATTCTTGTCAACGATCAATTGTTATGACGCAGCGTAAATATCGGCAATATTTTAATTCAAGTGTACTGTTTGTTGCGGTGTTATGTCCAATGGTGTTATCGCTCCATATTTCTTCGATAATGAGGATGGAACGCCGGAAACGATTCCGGAGCTTCTTACAGAATAATGATTGAAAACTTTTTGCGGCCAATGGCGCAGCAGAATCGTTTTTTTAATGAGAATATTCAAAGGACAAAATATATGTTAATAAACTAGAGACTATTAGACAGCTAAAGCAAAATATTCGAGACGAAGTACTGAGACTTCAACCAGAAACATTACGTGGTGTAATGGAAAACGCGTTAAAAACAGCCAATCTCCGTATCGAGAAAAATGGTGGACATTTGTCTGATGTCATATTTCATACATGATTTACATAAAATGTATTTAATGTATAAAAGGATTAATCAAAATAAATGATTATTACAAGGGTTATCCGTGTTTAACATTAGTAGGTCTTATTTGGCCCACCCTATAGAAGCCTCTTTTGTTTTTCCTTCCAGGAGCAACTTTATACACGTGAGTTGGCATAAATCACAGCTACAATAATGTGAATTGCAATGTATCTCAACTATATGCGTGCGTGTCGCAAAGAATTGGCACTACACGCCTGCGAGTCGCTACGAATCGCAACTACAGGGTGCGGCAGCGTTCATAGTAGGGTATTAAAAACACACTATAAGGCAGTAACCGTATATTATTTATTACCCCTTATGTTCAATAAATAGTTATTAAAGGTATGTCATTTACTAATGTGTAAGTCATTGTCCATTGCGTGGATTACTTTTTTGAATATGATGCCCCTTTGCACAACACATTCATCTAGGCGGCGTTGGAAGCTTGCCATAACTCGGCGTAACGTATTCCCTGGGACATTGCTGACGGCAGTTCTGATGCGATATTTCAACTCAGGAATGGTGGCAACTCAGGAACGTGTTCGGGAAACTTCTTACTTCAGGTGCCCCCAAAGTCTGCACGTGAAAGATCAGGTGAGCGAGGCGGCCAGGAAATGTCACCAAAACGGGAAATTACTCTACCTGGAAATTGTCTGTCGAAACGGTCCGTCCATCTGGAACTTTCCCATGACGTTCCAAGTTGAAATTTTTCCGAAATAGACGCTGGGTAGAAATAACAGAGTAGTTATTTTTGAAATAACTTTCAACAGCAAAGGCACGATGCTGTGCACTCCACCGATTCATATCACTGTCACACTTCGAAATGGCAGCTCATTAGTACACGAATGCGGCACGAGCTGGAGCACATTCATGCAGTACATCATTGTACTACGCAAGTCAAATTACGCTATGAACGCTGCCGCAACCTGAATATGATTGGGCAACCATACACTTGCATTCATTCGCAACTATAAATAAGCATTTTGGGTCACCAGGTTAAAATGCTTGAGAAATACTGCATTATATTAATGATATTATTAGTTCTGTAATTTAGTTTAAATGTGTCATGAAAATAAACTCTGTGTCCTGTTTCAGGCATGGCGAGCGCTTCAGGGACCCAAGATCAGGAGGAGTTCGACGTTACCGTCGCGGAGCTCCGCGACCTGATGGAGACCCGCGGATACGAGGCGGTCCAGAGGATACAGGACGAGCATGGGGGAGTACACAACCTCTGCAGGAAGTTGCACACCTCTCCAACAGACGGTAAAGTGAAAATTTGTATTTTCTAGTCCTAGTACTTCTACGTCAATGAAGTGACAGTGAACGTTTCTTTATTTAATTCCGATGCCATCATGTGCGGTAACTAAAGCAAACACGACAACTTAAATTTTACATATAATACTCATACCGGTAGCTGGGTATACACATTTCCTTTATTTAAGTCAGTGACTGGAAAATTTCTGTCTAAATGTGGCCCTTCTCTCTCATATCAATTTTAATGAACGTCTTCAGCAGTTTCAGATTTAAAAAAAATTATTTTAGAATTTTCATCGCAATGTTTAGCCGTTATGGGACAAACACATGTGCATTGGTTTAAGGTTATTTTAACTAACATGTTAAATTTTATGTTAATTCTTTACTGTACTTTCTATTTCTTCCATCGGCCATCACCAAATTGTAAATTAGTTTACTTTTAAACAGCCGGCAAATTTGTGCTTGAAAGAAAGAGCTTTGGCAATATGACAGAAAACTGTTTTATTCATGAAACGACTACCTGTATGATGATCTGCGTTCTGATGAGTAATTTTGTATTTGCTTGGGCGCACGCTAGAAACCGAAGTAGCTAAAGCTGCGATAGTGAGGCGCTGAAAGCTACGTATCATTTGGGTTGTACATATTTAAAAATTAGACTTTCTGGCAGCATAAAAGCAGGGGTAGGGGAAGTTTTTGCTGCATTTTAGATGAGCCACAAGATTTGTAATTTAATAAACCTTTTAGCCTTTCATTTGTGTTCTTGAAGTCTTGACTTTTAAGGAAGATCGAAAGAAAATCAGTTTAAACAAGTGTTGCTTAGTAGTTCATTCGGTTTGACCTTGCATGTTTTTGGAGGGCAATCAGTTAAATGTAAATATTTTTAAAAGGGATTCTACAAGATATGAATTACAGCTACATATTAGGAGACATAGTTTTCTTTTTCCCTGCATTCATGTGAGTGCTGCTTTGTTCAGGGTAAACTCATATCCAATTACCCTGAACTGCATTCATGTGAGTGCTGCTTTGTTCAGGGTAATTGGATATGAGTTTTAGCTGAAATTAAATTCGTAGTAGATTCGCAGATTTTGAAATTCACCAGACTAATTCACCTCTGGTTCTGCAAATAATTGCAATTACTATCAGATATTACTTTAAATTTCTTTAAATGATCAACCTGAATGTACGCAAATTAAATATCTTGCCGATTATAAATATGAAAAATCATATATATATATATAATATATATATATATATAATCAAATATATAATATTGTTAAATTATTTCCTAGCGCCACCAGTTGTTACGTTATTTTTTTCCTTCACATTCGTACGGGGTTCATGTTGATTTGGAGTGAATAACGACGACAGCACTTGATGAAATATCGAAAAACACTTTATTTACCAATATTAATCAAGACAGCTCCAAACCGCTTTTGCAGTCGTCGACGATCTACTACAAACACGCTGGAACAATCAGCGACACAGCCTTCCCACTCTCAGATAATAGCGGTGGAGACAGCTTCACTGCAAAGCACCAGAGTACAGCTCCCGACTCTGCTCGGTCGTTCTCAGAACTCCACGTACTCTCGAGACTCTCCACGCTACAACTCGCGATGCATTCAACGACACACAGAGCACAGCTCCCTACTCTTCGGTTCAGTCCTTCACACTCTCAGGCAATAGCGGTGGACACAGCTTCACTGCAAAGCACCAGAGTACAACTCCCGACTCTGCTCGGTCGTTCTCAGAACTCCACGTACTCTCGAGACTCTCCACGCTACAACTTGCGATTCATTCGACGACACACAGAGCACAGCTCCCGACTCTTCGGTTCAGTCGTTCCCGGAGCTTAACGCACTCTGCCGACGATGCACTAACCGCGATACACTAGACTCTTTCGATGCACTCGACGACCCACTCGGCACTCACTGCCCGACTGTCAACTCGATCGACTCTGCACGGACTGACTAACTCGAGACTAACTATCTCGCACTCTAGACGAGACACTCTCTAACTGACTGCGAGCCAGCAAGGTTTATATAGCTTTCGGCTTGTGTTCGAGAACATTCTGAGCTAAACCGGTAAGAATTCTTTCCAGAAGGTTCTCCATCCGTCCATGGTATATCGCCGATTTTGTCCCAAAATGGGCGATTTCTCGCCAAATGTGGCAACTCTGCATTCCTTGTTATTTTATGGCAACCCTAAAAACACTTTGCGGGGAAGCTATCTTACCGCATCTGTATATTTCGTAACAATATATAACAAAACTTGGTAATACTTGATGAAGATTATTCCAATGAAACAAGTTTAATTACAGCACCCAAGCTGATGTTGCTTTCCTATTGTAGCGAAAACTGCTCCTTTCGTCTGAGCTCCTCATAGCTTAGCGAAGAAGACGCAGGACCCAAAACCCGAAGGTCCTGGATTCGAAACCTATCAAAGGCAAGATGCCTGATAACTGGTTTTTATGTAAATTTCCTTCTGATTAATCTGTTTTCTTTATGTTCCAGAACATTCCGAGACTGAAATATTCCAGCATGTTCTTCAGGTGTATATAAGTAGTTCTTCATTCAGTTAAAAAAAAATAAAATGTTTTGAGTTTAGACTTCAGTACTTGATGTTTATTTGTACGGTCCGTTCATCTACGCAACAATACAAGCCACGTTGAGATAGCTTCCCCGCAGAGCGGGTTTAGGGTTGACAGAAAGTGACAGGTGGATGCGAATTGCCAGATTTGGCCGGAAATGGCCCATTCAGTGACAAAAAAACACTCAGTACTCTCCAAAATTTTGAGGAGGTAGCCGGATACAGTGAACAATCCACGATTTTTGCTGTAAAACTGTTTTTCGCATTGATTTTTGAAATTTCCTGTTGAAAAGAAAACACCTATAATGCATAGAAGTAGAACAAAAACAGACGACCAATCAAAACTTCGAATTCTCTTACAAATACTGAACACTCTTGTAGAGTTTTGTCATCTAACTTCTGCGTGAGAACTGTAAGAGTAATAACTGCACAGAAAGAAGAGTTTAAAAGTACCCTTTATTACACTCTTTAAAGTTTATAATGCGTCAAGTCGACGCAAACACACTACGCCTCTTCTTGGGAGGTAATTGAAATTACAGAACTAAACTAGAAATTCGAAGATATGCACAAATCGTTGAGCTAATCTACAGGCCACCGGTAATTCATGTTTCTTAAACCGGCGTCGTAACTAGTGGCAGCAAGTATATGCAGTTATTCCACGAAAACTCGCAATAAGCAGAAGGGAGTAGAAGCTTACGAAATAGAGCTAACGGCAATAGCCTAACTCTCTCTAACTTTCCTACTAAACCTCGGTTTTAAACTCTTTCTTTGAGGTAGAATTTGCATTCCTTCACGCGAGCTAACCAAATTTAAATATTCTGACATTGACAATTAGGGGAAAGAAGGCTTATAGGAAAGCTTAAAATTAAAACTTAACTTGTTAGTTAAAAATAATATAAATCCCTACACACTTAATAGGCAGTTCAGATTCCGAAAGATTATTCTAAACATATTTGTGTTGTCTTGCTAATCAATCTTCGTCCAACAGTGTAAAATGTGTAAAACTGCTGGACACAGTTGGTTCGAATAATGCTCTGATCCCAAAACACAGTTTTTTTAAATGATCTTTATGATTTTTTCCTCTGTGTAATATAAATATTAGCCCAAGGGTTGTCAACCGGAACGGAATTTTCCCTTGGACGGGGGATTTCATAGATTCAGGGGAATGAGGTCAGCATTTAGTTAGGTCTTTAATATTTAGTTTTAGTTTATGAATATAAAAAAACTGCTTTTATTGAAGTTTTGGTATTTATCAATATTGTCTATAGTTTCTGTTCTTTGATGATGTCGTGTCTATGACAAAGTGCAATTATAAAGCTCCGAAGCTGTCAAAGACAGCTTTTGCAACCTCCGGAGCTCTATCAGTATAACGTAGGTCCACAGGGTCTTCAGTGCCGATGTCAAACAGTCTGGCCTGGATTGCTGGGCAGCTGAAGATGTGATGGCGAGACAGTGGGATGTCATCTGGGCAATGAGGACAAATGTTGGTGTAACTACGCTGTCCGTCTGCAGATATCCTCATCCCTTTCGAGTGATTTATCCTAAAGGCCACTTTACATCTGTCAAAGCTGCTCGTAGCGAGCCGCTCGTCCGAGCGTTTCGAACCGAGTGAACGGACCTGTACTCTGATAGATTGTTTACACCGATCAGAGTGGACTGACAACTCGCCTCCGTTTGTTTACGAAATGGATATCGACGTCGCAGCTGCAGGAAAGAATATGCATTGAACATACATAGATGTTCTTAGGCTGCAGTGCTTGAAGTCTGCGAAGCAGTTTCAAACGAATTAATTTCTGCTCTTGGGAGGGAAAAAAAATGGGTACGTGATTGGATAGCTTGTCGCGATGAATTAGGAGTATCAAATGAACTATTAAATGAATTTCGGATAGAATGTCCAAAGTTACAAAAACGTTATTGCATATCAGATACAAGAATTTAAAAGAAACTCAGTTTGAGAGAAGTTATTTAGTCAACTGTGATTACTGAAAGTCAAATTAACAAAGTTTTTCTACTATATACAACTGTTTATTTACAACTAATTAATCATTTACAAAATAATGTAAAAGTAATAATGTGCTTTATTATTTATTAATAGAAAGAATATATTTATTCATCCAGAATCCACAGAATCAGTAGCTCTCTGTGCATGAATTAATTATGCAGAGTTCTGACTGGAACTGTGTTATTTCTAGAGAAGAATGCAAAATTAACACATGGAATATTTATTCAAAGTTACCATTAACACGACAGAAGTAAACTGTATGATATCTACCTAATTATTCAGAAAATCTTAAATAAATAAGAAGTAGCAAAAAACTAGGGAGTATTACATATATTACCACAGGTAAAAGAATATATATATTATAACATAGTTCCAAGAGGAAGATATTTATCGCAAATTGTTACTTTTGGATCCTACTGAA